TATATACCCAACAATACAAGATAATATTGTTAATTTTTTAAATATTGTATTTTTAAACAGATATTTTTAGTTGTATAATTTAATTATTTTTAGGTTATTATTTTAAATAAAAAAGGATTTTTTTAAGATATTAGGATTTAAAATACAAACTGAATTGAGCTTGAGGGATTAAGTGTTATAAATAATATTTTATGAGGTAAGTGTTACAGATGGTCTATAGATTAGAGTTGTAAACTGTATTTAACCCAATATTTTATTAGTAAACTTCCATAAAGTACAACTTGTAATATTTTAATAATTTATTGGTTGTCTAAATTCTAACTTTGATTTCTCAAATTTGGCAAACCATAAAGTTATAATTAATTAAACAGTAGGTATAATTTACATATTTTTTGTTGTTAGGAGCATGAAATTTTGGAGTTAGTTATTTAAATTGTGTATCATTTAGAAATGAGAAGCCCTCTTGGAGATGCTCTTATGGACTTATTTGCAATTAACCTTTTCTTAATTTCTTTTATTGAGTTGAACATATTTTTCGAGTTACCTTATTAAACAAACGATAAAAGTTGGGGTAAAAATTGGAACAAATTTTGAAATTCCGCTTATTCAAATTCAGACTTCTAAATTTTAGTACTTATTTTTTTGTTATTTCGATTTCTAAAATTTTGACCCCTATTTATTTTAAAAAAGAAAAACTGCAATTGGGATATATATACATAAAATGCTATTCTTTTTTTTTCAAATTTGGATCCGATTTAATTTATAAATGTGCCTCAAAAACTCCATTTTTTTTCAAAAATATATTTATAATCTTAAACTTGTTATATATTTGTATTTTAAAAATTCATTCAGACTTTCACTCCCGCTGTTAATCTTTTGTTTACCGTATTGTAATTGATAAACTTGCAGGACCTATCAATTAAAAACAAAAAAAAAACAAAAAGAAAAAAGAGAAAGTTTTGAATAAATAAATTAATGGGTAAATAGCACTTAACCCCCTTGTGGTTAGGACATTTTGCACTTGACCCCTTTATGGTATGAAATTAGGCACATAATCCCCTTGTGGTTTTGACATTTTGCACATGACCCCCTTATGGTATGAAATTAGGCACATAACCCCCATGTGGTTTTGAAATTTTGCACATGACCCCCTTATGGTATGGAATGAGCACACAACCACTTGAATAGAAAACTGGAAAAGACTAAATTACCCCTATCAAGTCAAAAGTTCTTGTTTTAATTTAAAAATAATTAGTCTATAAAATGAAAAGTTTAATGTATTTTTTTGTAAAATGAGAAATATAATATATTAATGTATTCTTGTTTCAGTTTTAATGATATTTAAATGATTTTTAGGTGTTGGCCTAAATTGGGAAGAGACTCTACACATTTTGTCTCAGTTAGCTTGGTCCATTAAAGCTATAATTGAACAAAATTATGTCGTCGGTGACATTAAGCCGGACAATATACTAATTGATGATGTAAGTATTAATTTTTTATTCGTTTTATGTAGACAAATGGATTTTTTAAATAGTTTTCTTGTATTGTATAGAATCACAATGTATACCTGTGTGATTTTGGGTCAGCGGTGAAAGATGGGAGACATGGGCCAACCATTAATTATCAATATGCATCAAAAGAGGTCATTAGAGGTAAATCTAAATTTATGGCATTAATGCATATTTCTACAATACATATACAAGGGGATTTAATGCAAAAAATAATTTATTTGTTTAAATTTCATATTATTTTCAGAAAATTAAGCTGAACACATTTATTCAATTACAATATCAAAAATAAAAATTTAATAGGTGTGGTGAATGTTTTTTAAAAAAAAATCAATTTTTATATGATATTATTAATGTATGAATTTTGATTTTTTAAATTATATAATTATTTTATTAGAATTATTAGATATGTTTATAATTTATTCTTGATTAATTATATGTGAAAATAATATAAATAATTTGAGAATTCGTTCCAACTTCAATCTCGAGTATTATTTTCTTAGTTTTCATATTTTAAATTAATAGAAATATTCGACTTAATTTAAGAAAATAATATGAATTTTAAATGAATAAATTAATTTGCATAGACCCAATTTGCAAAATTATGCACCAAATCCTCCTATGTTACAAAAAAATTACATAAAACCCCCTCTATAGTTAACGGCGTTAACTTTTAACGGAAAAGGGGATTTCGTGCAAAGTATAATAAAACACAAGGGGGTTTTACGCAAGAAAAAAAAAACACGGGGGATTTGGCACAGGTTTTCCTTAACACAAGGGGGGGGGGGGGGGGTTATGCTGTTTACCCGAAAAATCATAAAATAACTATTGAAGTTCATACACTCTTCTTACTCTTAAAGAGTATGTGATTTTGTAATTGTTTTGCATTCGTTAATTCCAACGGCTCTTTTTCATCCGCTTCTATTTTATTTATTCTTTATTCTATGTACTTAAAATTTGAAATTCAAATTGCAATTTTCACTTGCTGGACAAATTGATATGTTTAAACGTGACCAAAATTCCCAAGCCATCTTTCAGGAGATGAAGTTTATTGAATGATCAGGCATGCTTGAAGAATGTGGCCGATTCATGCTTGAGAAGATTCAGGTACGAAAATTAGTATATGAGTTTTAGATTGTGAGTTGGGCCGATTTCCGGCGTTGACTTTGGTGGAGTTGGCGTTAATAGAGGTGGTTTGGTTGTTAAATTTCTAACACTGTGCACGATAAACCGAATCTATGACATCTTTTTAAGCGAACTTCGGACGACGCAACCTGAAGTTTGTATTTGGAACAAGGTTAGGAGTTGTGTGTGTTGTACGTATGGTTGTGTTTTGCCTGGCTGGTTGTGATGGTTCTCCCACAACAAAGGTGTTGACATCATTTTCATGTTTGGAAGAGGCCCATAGAGCTCGAAGCTCCGTGAGGACAACTTGGAGGGTGTTATGTATTAGACGAAATTGGACTAGTGTCGAACTAGAATTTCTCTAACCTCCGCACGAAATTGAGCATCTGATTTCGTACGTGCCTTCATGGAACGTAACGGCGTTTCTGATACCATTGTTACGTGGTAATTTAAATAGAATAAATAATTTAAGCAAGAAGATGATTTGAAGATAAGAAATAAGAATTGTAGAAGAATAAATAGAGGGATTGAGAAGATTAATTGATTACGTAAAATGATTATCCATTTTCAATTATGTAATGACTAATTAAAATTAAATCACCCACTAACTCACTAATTTAATTAACTTCTTTCACTAACTAAAAATCATTAAATATAGGGTAAATTACAAACACCCCCCTGAGGTATGGTCAAATTACAAAAATCCCCCTCTTGTTTGGATAATTACATCTACCCCTCAAATATGATTTTTTCTTACACCTCCACCCTTATTGTGCCAACTTCAACATAATCATCTAGATTCCGTGGAATGTGCTCTAATTTGTACTCTTTTTGCGTCCAAATACAGTTTCCGATGCACCACAAACTGATATATACAAGCTAAAAATCACATATTATGATCATCTTACTCCATAATGTAGAGTTTGAATGGGATAAACGGGTACACAAGTAGATACCTCTGGCCCTAGTATCTCAAGCAGCAGCAGCTGCACTGCGTCTGAGGAAATTTTAGAAAAAATCTCTCCCC